ACCAAAAAAAACAAACAACAAAAAAAACCCCAAACCAACAAAACAGAACAAACAGGTGATATTCAAGGATTTACTCAACCAGAAGCCTGAAGTTTCCTTCTTGCAGAAACTGACTGCTAGTGAAAATTACCCCTCTCTGGGGTTCTTGTACTTCCAAAGTTGCTCATTAAATGCAGCTAAGCAGGTCACTTGAGATTCCAGGCTTGGTGCATACAAATACCTGCACTGTCTGCAGGTAGCTTGGCATTGCCTCCTCTCCTGAGTACTTAGGGTGCTGCAGAGACAGATCTGTCCCTGCTTGATCTCGCAAGGTCCAGCTAATCTAATCTGCACCTTGCAGGAAGTGTTACCCGCAGCATCCTAACACCCGAGCAAGGACTTCTAAACTTGTATTGGATGAGACAGAATTTAGGAAACGTGCCTGCAGACGAGAGACACCCCCAGAGCAGGAATAACTCTGACGGGACCTGGAAAGCAGGCTGGTTATTCATAGGAAGCCTGCTGCTGGCTCTGGTCTGGGAGGAGGAAGCAGGACCATGGGGTAGGTTAAGCAGTGTTCCAGTGCTGGCAGCTGGGAATAGTGTGTGTCCCAAACCCATGGAGCCTGTGAGCATTTTTGTCTGTCTGCTTGGTGTCCATCAGCTTTCCCTGAATGCTGCTGATTCCTGAGCAGAAGTTAAACTGCTGGAGGGCAAGTCAAGGTGGTGCAGGCACAGCAGGTAGTGAAGGAGAAGGTCTTTGGCTTTGTAAGATGGGAGACTAGCTAACAGTGATCTGAACCAGGTGGCACCAGAAAAGCTGGAAAAAAAAGTGGCAATAGTCAGGGGCTGAAGGAAAATCAGTAAGTTGAAATAAATATGATGGTTCTGAAAGTCATCAGAAACAACCCGGTAACTGAATTTGCTGACTTACCTGCTCTTGATAAAGGAGAGACAAATATAGAAGAGGTGCAATAGCAGCTGAACACCCACCGGTGACTGCCGTGTTTCAGATGACTGCTTTGAGAAAGGATGTGAACGCAATATTCCTTTTTCATGTCTTGTGCAAGAGGTCAGCAACGTGGGCATCAGTGTGACTCCCATGTCTACGTCAGCACACACGCACAGAGGCCATCTTTCCTAATCTTTCAAAGATGCTTGCACCCCACTGCATCATTCCAATTTTGTGCAGTACCACTCCATCAAAGCTCTTAGTGCATTGCAGGCTGTACCAAACTCTCTGCACTATGTCCATTTGCCTAAGGGTCACTTCAGAACACAAAGTCTCCTGTGACGTTCAGGATCCCAGTGTGGTGACAGCCTGGAAAAGACCAGAAAATGCTGTTTTCTGAAGCTAGTTGCTGTAACCTTATAAACTGAGACTCACAGAGCACTTGGGATCTTCTTGTCAACATATCCCAGAGACAGGAAGGTGCTGTCATGTCTCAGAGAAGGACTGTACATCTAGGCTGGCTGACCCACCTCAAGCCCTGCCAACTTTCTCAGCTTTCTTTGATTGCCTGGTCTTAAAATGACTTCAAGTTCAATCTTCCGACTTCCCTTCCCTCAAGGTCATTGCTGATTGTAATGCAGCTCTGGTCATTGCTGCTGCAAGCTGGGTTTGAGCTCTTTGACAGTTTTGGGACGACCTTTTTTTTGGACAGTCACTAGTAGTGTTTTCGTGGTGGGGTTTGCTCAGGTAAGGGATTTGCTTGTGTCCTTCAAAAGGTAGGCAGAGTTAGCTCAATCAAATCAAATAATCAAGTGTTATTTGATTAACAGCTTAACCCAAGCTGCTTGTGGCCTCCCTAGCAGCCAGGGCCTGATCCAGCCTGTGCAATGGCACAACTGGGGCTTTGCACATTCTCGTGCACAGAACCCTGCACTGCACGTGCAGGACTGAGCCACCCTGGCACTCAAACTGCCTTTGAACTTTTTAAAGCCTCGGCTTGAATGTGAGCTAAGGCAGCTATAAATAGCAGTCGGTGGCCCCTGGTTAACCCAGGGGCTTTGATCACCGAGCTGGCTCCCTGTGTCAGTGCTTGGCTGCAACTCCCGCCCTCACATCAGCAGGGGACCAAGTTCATCAGCACTCCTGGCTCTCATTGCTGCCTGTAGTTTGGGTAGTGGGGTGGGTTTCAGTAGACACCCAGACATAGGAAAACGCCTGTTTATCCATTATATGGCAAGAAATATACAATTTGTCTTAGAAAATGGAGAGCATAAATGGCAAATTAAGCCTTAAGTGCAAAGCAAAGTGTAGGGATTCCTAAAGTGAAATAAGAAATTAAAAATACATCTCTAAACAAAGGGTTGGATGCAACTGCCTCGGGGCAGGGAGGACACTTGACACCAACATTGCAAAGCAGGCTATGTCCCCAGGGTACCCACCCTGCAGTGGACAGTCTGTTAGGGGCCTGACTGCTGCCTATCACCCTGCTTCTGGCCCCCGGCATTTCTTATCTGCACAAGCATGCATCCTATGTATTGAGTGGACTTCCTTTGTTTTGCAGCTCACCCTTCCTTCAGGGTGCATTATATCATCTTATCGGACAGCAGGGTTGTGATATGTCAAAGGAATCGCTCCATGCTGCAGCTTTAATTGCCTTCTCCAGATCATTCTGAAGTTTGAGGCTCTTAAATCATTGTCAGGGCTGTGTTCCCCACTGCCAGGCACTGCTGAGGCTGTACCTGGAGCACTGTACCCAGTCTGGGCCCCTGGTGTTGGAGAAATGGTAACAAGGGGCACTCCAGTGGCAGACACCAGGCTGGCAAGAGTTTTGAGCACGTGGTGCATAAAGAGAGACCAAGAGAGCAGGGCTTCTTCAGCCTGGAGGAGAGATGGGGCCCTAGATGCATCTTCCACTGCCTGAGAGCCAAACCTTCTCAGAGGTGCCTGGTGAAAGGACAAGAGCCAACAGGCATTTCTGCAGTGTGGGGACCTCTGACAAGGTAGGTGGAAACAACTCGGCACCAGAAGAACGGAGCAGCAATGGCCCAGATGGGTGGTGGCATTTCTGATCTTGGGGACCATCAAGCCTCACCTGGATGCAGCCCCAGACATCCTGACCTGACTGTGAGAATGGCCCTCACATGAGGAGTGGGGAGGGGACAGATACCTCCTGAGCTCCCTTCTGCATAAAGCTGTCTGTGATTGTATGATTATATTGTATTTTCCCATTTGAAACTGTTGCCCCCTGAAAGCATTGATGTCTGCTGATTCCTCTGATGTGGTTTTTGGGAGCTCACAGACCCATCTCAGGAGACCAAGGGTCTCACAGGAACAGGTGAAAACCCACAGTGCTTAAAATTAAGATTATATCATACAGTGAGTAAATACAGAATGATGAGAGGCAGATAAGAAATGTAGAACTCATTTCAGTGTGGTGTGAGATCCAGCATTATATGGCCAAGAGAGGAGAAAGAAAGGAAGGAGACTAGCGTGACTCTCAAAATGGTTTAGTAAAGGTCTCAAAGCTTTTGCAGATAGGAAGCTGTAGATGGGTGTGAGCTCATTACACTGTCTCAGAGCAAAGCCTTTCCTTTAATTAATTTATTACTAATATAAGATTGTCCTTATCTGTAGGAAGCAATCAAATATGCAAAAGCCAAGTGAGCCTAATGTAAGGTAAACAGATGCATCTCTCACTAATCTGGCAGTATCTTGTTCTGCATAAAGCACATAAGCTTAGCTGTGGGGCTCTGTGCAGGTGATGTGGCTCATGGACCTTTTCCCACAGCTTGCAATGTGACTCTTGCACCCCCGAAGGCTTCTGCCTTCCTCAGCTCCTGCTGCAGACCAGATGGGCTCAGCTGTCCTCTGCACTCTTGTCTTTAGTGAGTTTGCCTGGTTTGTCTCACTGCTCACTCTGGTCTAAGACCTTCTGTGTGAATGAAGATTTTATCAGAAGTCCTGTCATCCCATCAGCTGCTAGCACCAGGCCACTACTACTTCTTTTTCCATTTGGAAAGGAGGCGTACAGAAAATATGCAACTGCTGTCATAGAACCTTGTGGATGCTACAAACTGATGTGAGTTCAAAAAGGGACCAGACACATTGACAGAAGACACTTGCACACAAAGATGCTCCTACCTTTTCAGGAAATCCTTGATCTGCCAATCCAGTTGGCTGGGAACGTAATCCGAGAGGATTCACTACAGGCTTGTCCAGCACTTGCCTTCCTCAGGCATCTGCCACAGGGTCCCTACTAGAGGAGGTGCAAGGGGAAATGGATCATATTTGAGTTTAAGGACTCACAAAAAAGCTTTACTCAGGTCACAGGTATATTGGACATCTTCTCTAGAAATCTTCACAGAAGGCAAAATCCTACAGGCAGAGTGACAGCTGAAGGGCAAAGACCAAGGCTGCCCAACTCTTCCTCTCTGCTAGAGGGCTCCTGTATAGAAATGCAAATAGCTTGAAGTCACCTGCAGGGACAGGTAGTGATGGTCACCCTGTGATGTTTCAGCTGGAGAACCTGGCTAGCATTGGTAACTTCAACCACCCTGTACTGGGAGAGCTAGAACCAGCAGTGAGGGCACTGGTGAGCATCACTGGTGTAAAACTCAGAAGTGCCTGTCCTGTCAGAGGCAAAATGAGTCTCTGCTTGATAATAAATGGGGCCATGAGAAGAGGCAGCCTTAGAGTCTGTGATTCCTGTGATCATCTGAGCAAAAAAACCCAAACAGTTTATAATCCAAAATCATCCTTTTATGTCAATGCTGGTGGCCCAGCTTCTGTGCAGTAGGCTCAGCACATGGGCAGGGAGGGGGCCAGATGTGGCCTAGTGGCATTTGAGCTCAAGGGCTTACATGTCTAGAAAAAGCCTGATAAGAGACAGGAATTCAAGTGGTACTGAAATAGTGATAAGGGCAGCTGGGGAATGCCTCATATGGACACATGGGCTGGAGCAGTGGGACTTGGCATGCAAGGGGGTGACACCTGCCCCACACACTTAGTGTCCCATTTCACTCCCAAGGAGGCTTTGAGGGGCGTGTGACGTGCTGCATCTCAAAGGCACGATGGAGACCATCCTCTGCCTGCCCTACACAGAGCTGCAAGATGAGAGGGGTCACTCTCCTGGGCAGTCCTCAGAGCCTGAGCTGGCCTCCATGCAACCCCTGGGTGATGAGAAGTGGCCCTGCCTGCTGAGCCATGTACACTTGACTGCTGTGCCCAGTCCAGATGCTTGCCAGTTGTGTTTCTTATTGCTACCTAGAGTGCCAGGCAGCCCTTTGAATTACGTGGCATGTGCCCCTGTGCTTCAAGTGCAAAAGCATTGCTGTCAGAATGTCATCCAAGAGGTCACCAAGCTTGGCTACCAGAAGCTGCACAGCTCTCCCTGGCCTGCCTCCAGGATGTCCCAGGACCTGTGGTGGAACACAGCTCTCCTTGCTACCCTTCCAAATTCCCCAGTCTCAGCCTTTGCCTCCCTGGGTGAGGTTTTGGAGACATAGCTAGCCATAGCATTCTCAACATGGGTTCCTACTATGCTGGCCTGGTTTAGGGAACATCACAGGGAGAGCAGAGAAGGTGGTTTTCATAAGTTTCCCTGTCTGACAGGACTCTGCAATGGTGCTTATCACTGTCCTGTCCACCGGCGATATCATGGAGCCTGGGCTGAAGTGTCTGACCAAAAGCTAATGCAGACATTGGCCTCAGAGCAAGGTGTAAATTCAGGGGCAGATCAAAGTCAAGTTTCAGCTCTAAAAACTGGAGCAGTGACTGGAGGCTGTCTCCTTGTGGCTTGCCTTCCCTATACCAGGTGAGTTCTGCTCTTACCAGAGTTTGTGACCCAGTTTCTGTTTTGGTGACCAGGTCTGACAGTGATGGAAAGTCATCCAAAAAGTCCCCTGAGCTTTTCTGAGCTCTTTTACTGGATCATCTAAGATGTCTTGATCTAAGGGCCCCAGCGTGACATAAAGCATGCCCCTTTCTGGGGTAAGCTAGGGCCTGCAAGAGACAGGCATGGCCTGGCATGCTCCAGGAGGGGCACACTAGACAAGCCCAGTGCCACGCAAAGTGGCAGCCACCTCCTGTGTGGCCATGTGACTACTGGAAGCTATTTTTTAACCTGTAAGTAAACCATGTGCTGACCTTGCCCTCCCTTTCATCTCGTGAAAAGGCATATTCAAGCTCTCTCCAATTTTTTTCAGTTGTTTAATGCCTTTCT